GACTACCCACAGGTAATTTAGCCTGCATGTAGCCTGGATGTTTTGCATTTTGGAAATTGTGTATAGCTTGAGAGGGTAGGAGTGTAAAAAGTGAAGAAATGAAAATGCGTGATCAGCTACCCAATCTCCCTGATCTAGTTTGCTGTAACTATGTAATTAGATGTTTAGATTATCACTCTTAACTTTAAATTATTTCAATTCTGTTGAGAGTGGAAGTCAAATTACAAATTGTAGGATCTGGTTAGTTGAGTTGGTTTAAGACAGAATAAAATCACACTGAGGATGGACTTTCTATATTGTTATCTAATGAGCAAAGAAAACATTTCCCATAGTAATATAAAGGTGAGTACATTTCCACGGTGAAATTAACTTAGTAATCTAGATTTATGTCCTATGAAGCCATGTAGAAGTCAGCATATTATCCTTTTCCCCTTTGGTGTAGATATTTATTCAACTATCCACTGATTTAGCCATTCAAATAATAATTGAATGTTTATTATATGTCAGGCAATGGTCATACAGTTATGAATAAGATTCATCTTTTACTCTCAAGAGCTGAAAACCTAGTAGTACTTTCTAGATTTTTCAAAAACTGTTAAAGAACATTAATAGAACAACTTTTAAAATCCAATATATATGTCATACAACTACCACATAAATATTTCATCATATTAACCAATGTTCTTAATTAGTTCTATGATGATATATCTGATGCCCATAGCATACTGAATGCCCAAAAATAGTACTCTTATGTAGTCTAATATTTCTTCTTCTACTAGTTGAGGGTTTTTATGTTTTTGTTTTTACCAAGAGGGTAATTTAGATTTTTTCCCAAACATGTTGCTATAAATTATGTTTATGGTTATAATTATGTAATTCAATTAAATATTGCTTAAACTGATCAAATATGATTATAAAAGTGTTTCTTTGATATTGTCTCTGGAAGAACTAGGTTGAATGCTTTAAGACTCAATAAATCACCAATAGGGCTGAATTAGCTTCAGTAGACAGAACTTTAAACAACTGAAGGAAAAAAATGTAAACATCTGAAAGTCTTTTCTTACCTAGGTTAGATTACTTCACAGTGGTCTCTAAGGTCTTGATCCACTTAAAAATAAAACTGGCTTTCACATAAGATATATTATGTGTACAATTTATGACAAAATACAGTGAACTCTAATCCCTGGACCCATCCTTAAAAAAAACTAAAAAGCAAAGAACAACTTTGGTCTTATATTTAAAAAAAGTTAATGAACATGTATTTATAGGTTTTAGCTTAATAGAAAAACTTTAATGTATGCATATAACAAATTATCTCATGATTCCTCACTGTAAACAACCTTTTGAGTTAATTGACCTACTTACTATCTATACCACTTGCTTCTGATTGGAAGGCTTTTTGCTGTGCTAGCCGCAGACAATCCCAAAGATACATGGATATGGCATAAAGATGTTACGTACTAACCGCTTTTATAGGTGGATATCACTTTGTTACTTTAAAGCAGAGAAAGATGGTTTTGCTTCTCAGTGTGAAAAAAGAAATGGGAAGTGATCATTCAAATTACAAAAAAGACAACTCACAAGGGCCAAAACTACTTCACACATGCCCATTTGTCAACTACTTTATAGAAATTTAACATTTAACTTGTCACATAATACCACCCAACTTCCAGGAAATAACCAAATGTGTTATTTAAACTCAGTCTGTGCTTAGGGGAATACTTTATTTTATAAAAACAGCTTTTATTGGGAAAAATAAGAAGTTAGAACTCCATAGCCTTAAGGTCCTATTGTATGCTTACTTCTTAGAGGCACAACACTTCTCTCAGTTGATGGAGAAAAAGTTCACATAGGGGAGTCATGAGTTGGGTAGCATGTCTCTGGTAAGAAATGAGATATGATAGCTTGAAAATTGAGTTTTCTATTGAAAATGTTGAGTTATTTTATTCTCAGTGATTCAGAGTACTGGTAAATGTTTTCACTTGGAATGCACATCCTTGAAGGTTATGTTGTAAAAATGTCCAGAAAATAGGATCTGAACAGGCGCCATTTTTCTTCCATTACATACTAATAGAGCAAAGAAAAACAAATGTGTTTATATACTCTATGCTTTATTAAACTATCATGACTTCAGTTGTTGCCTATGGCATTTTTATGTGAAACTTTTCTTATTTTACTCACACGTAGGTAAGACCAGTAATAGTCTTATTTAATCTTATTTAGTCTCCACTTATTTAGCTGACTTACTGACTTAGTTAATTACAACATAAAAACTAAAATAACAGTTTAAACTATAAAAAATGATGAAGAAAAATCTTCAGAAGATTTTCTTTTGTGAATCTCTTTGGAAAAGAGAGAAGCCCTATTGTACTTCGTCATTTGGTCTAGAAAAGATATATAATTCAAATTATGACTTCTCTTTCTATTTTTACTTTCTTGTTTTATCCCAGTTGCTGACTTTAATAAAGTCACCATTTTATTTCGGTATCACCTCCATTTACTTTTAAATCCAATTGTTTTATCCGTTCTGTTGATTCTTCCTTTTCCATCTCCTTTATCATTCTCAAAGCTGCCGGCCAACCCAAGGCCCTCTTTAGTTGACACCTGGACTAGCTGACATGAAAGTGTGCTGGGAATTCACTCTAGCTCATTTCCTTTCACTGTCCACACTGCACAGCATTTCCAGATGAATCTTCCTCAAAAGTTGCTTTTATCACTTAATTCTGCTTAAGAATAAATAAAGCAATCTATTGATAACATCATTTATCTAAATGCCTCTTCTTGTTATTCAGTCTTCCATAATCTGTTCACACTCAACCTGATAGTACAGTCTCTTCTAATCTATTTTTAATTAGTGTGGATTTTGAATATATCATTTCTTAACATCAGCATAAATCCCATAGCTTAAAGCAGTGGTCTGCAAAGTATGGCCCATGGATCAAATACGGCTTGTTGCCTGTTTTAATATGGCCTGTGGTCTAAGTATGGTTTTTACATTTTTTTAAGTTTTTATTTAAATTCCAGTTAGTTAACATACCGTGTAACATGAGTTTCAGGTGTACAATATAGTGATTCAGCACTTCTATATAACACCTGGTGCTCATCACAACAAGTGCCCTCCTTCATCCCCATCACCTGTCCTCCCCCACATTCCTGGCTGGTAACCATCATTTTGTTCTCTAGAGTTAAGAGTCTGTTTCTTGGGTGCCTCTCTTTTTTTCCCCCTTTGTTTGTTTTGTTTCTTAAATTCCACATATGAGTGAAATCATGGTATTTGTCTTTCTCTGGCTGACTTATTTTGCTTAGCATAATACTCTCTAGCTCCACCCATGTTGTTGCAAATTGCTGGTTTTTACACTTTTAAACAGTTGGAAAAGAATCAAAAGAAGAACGATATTTCATGATATGTGAAAACTATGTAGAATTCAAATTTCTGTGTCCATAAATAAAGTTTTATTGGAACATGGCCATGCTCATTTGTTTATGTATTGTCTACAACTGATTTCACACAACAGCAGAGTTGAATAATGGCAACAGAGACCATATGGCCTACAAAATCTATTATATTTACTGTCTGGTCCTTTACAAAAATATTGTCAACCCTGGCCTAAAGAATATGTCAGTTGATGGTAGACAATTATATGCTTATACATATTTCCCCTTATTCAAAACAATGTGTGCTAGCCATTCTTATATTCTACTTCATGAGTAATTTTAAACTTGAATCTCTTTTCAGCAAACTTAGAAAAATGCTTTCATCAAAATGCTACTTTGGGTTTAGTGGAAAATAAGCAGGACAAAAAGGGGAGAAGAGGAAACATACACATGGAACAAGAGGAAAATTCAGTGAAAAAAAGAGGTAAGTAAGTAGGGCAACAGGGAATAATTTGTACAGACATAGAGAAAAATAGAACCAGAATTGTCAAGGGAAAGTCGGAGTAATGTGCCTACATCTAGCCATCCCTTGCCATGCTGCCTTTTCTCCCTACTAAAAAAAAAAAAAACCTCTACTCATTAGCTCTTATTTATAAGATTTAATTATATTATCTCAATTAAGCCTCAAAACAACCCTAATTAAGGAAATGACATTATCTTAAGTTATAGATGAGGCATGTAAAACCCAGAGATGTTGACCAAATGACAGACCTGTAAGTGTAATTGTAACTCAGCGCTAATGCCCATTGTTACAACACCGTGCTTTCATTATTTTTCAGTATGGAGCTCCTTATTCAAGGAGTTAGTTCTTTAGAAAATCATGCATTTTTAAAATTACTGTGGAATACTGTCAAATTGAAACTCAGCTTGCCTCTTACACTTAATAACCTCAAAACCTTCTTATAAAATCCAGGTGTTGATTTTTACCTAAGAGTCTCTTGTCAGAAAGAGTAATCGAGATTTTGTTGACACAGAGAAATAAACTAGACAGGTAGGTTTCAAGGCTATTGACTGGTGATTAAATATCATTCTAATAGTGAATATTTATTGACCTCCTAATATGTTTCAGTCATTCATTTCTCACAATAATCCTAAAGGGAAGGTACTATTATTATCCCTATTTGCATCAGATAATTGTATAGCAGAAAGGTTTTAAGTAAGTTACCCAAAGTTACAGAGCTCGGCAGAAGCTGAGATATGAATTTAAGTAGTCTAATTCCAGAGCCATAAGATTAACCATTATGCCAGGCTGAGAAAATCTTTAAAGGAGTTAAATACGTAGGACTCATGAGGACCTAAATGCATGAGACTTACATTAGTGGATTCCTTTTTCAAAAGAAAATGAATTACCTTTCCTGATAAGGCAAGAATTTGAATATATAATAAGACCATTGAAATATATACAACACCATTTTTGAAGACAAAGCAGCAGAGCATCCTGACTAAAAAAACACACATGCACACACACATATACACACTATTAACAATCGCACTGGTAGGATGTGCTCTTGCGGTCAGGAAGATCCTGTATGGCATTATGCTTACCATTACGCTTACCAACTTACCAGTAAATAGAAACTCCTGCTATGATAAACTGCATGCTTGGACTGTAGTGAGAGGAGTTGCTTTAGGTTCAAGAAGTGTCTCTCCTTCAGGCAAACCTCAAACCCGTTTTCCTCATCATCAGATCTTGATACTGTTAATATAAAATGTTTGCTATCATTAGTGGAATGTGAATGGTGCATAATGAACAATCTGCCGCAGGAAGCCAGTTCATGGAGTCCCCAAACACTGATGAGCACAGAGATTGAGCTATCGGTTCAACCTTATTACTGTTTTTAATTCGATTTCAAGATATAAGAGGTTTCTAGAATTAAGTGGAGAAATCTCACTGCTGCTGACATAGTCTTTTGTCGGTAAATTGCCTTGGGTATTTTATCAACACAATGTACTGCATTTCACAGGAACTATACTATTTAAAAAGACAAATGTAAAATTATAATGTAATATTTAGACATTCTTTTCCTGGAGGTCAGTGTGAGGACATGGAGTAATTACACCATAATGTGAGACACTTAATTACAGAGGTGCATATTATGTCCACTACATAAAATCATTTTTATCATAGCAGTTTCTCATTCCTAAGAAACTCTTCCCCCCTCCCCATGTATAGGATGTCTGACACCAGAATGCATCTTAGCATCCTGAAATCAGATGTAAATCTATGCATTTAGTGAAGTGATACCTGTCCCCAAATGTTGATTTTTAATTCTAAGGTCCATCTTACCTAGGAGGGTCTCTTAAAATTGGGGGTGGGGGGGGGGAGAGGGAGAGAAATGAAATGATCCAATATTGGCATGATATAGAAATAATTTCTAAAAATTTAAAGAAACTCCTCTGAGTGTTTTCCATGGTTGCTAAAAATTGAGCATGTTTGTCTGGATCACATGGAATGCTCACCACCTCCTCCTGCAATGGAAAGCATCAGTGTTGGCAGTAACCATAACATCCTGTCTCTCTTACTGCCAGAGCCAGCACCATGTGATGTAGTGAGAATTAAAAGTTCCCAACCTTCAACTCAGTTGATTGGAAAGTTTTCATTAGAAGTAGGTTCTATTGTGGCCCCATAACCTACATTTTAAAGCTCATTATCCTCTGTTTTAGCACTGATAAGCTGACAACTGTAAAACATTCATGAAAACACAATTGCAATCTTGATAAATGCCTCCACTGTGTAATCTATTGCAGCAATGATCTATGCATTACAATTGCTTCTTAAAGTACCAGAGATTCACAAATACACATTGTTTATGCACACGCCTGCACGCGCGCACACACACACACACACACACATGAAGATACAGTTCTAGGCTTTAAAACTTAGTTTCAGATGATGCCTTTGTCTTTCATTATCAGAGAATTTTGCTTTCCCTGCTCTTGCGGTTATTTAACATGAACAACTTTCTCTTTACATCCATCAGGCAGCAGTACTGGCCAGGAATGCAAATAACCCTAAGACAGTCCACCTTGATAGTCAAGAAAATGTTAACCATTATATGCCCCATGGTACATTTACCAATCTGTAATGTATTATTTCTTCTTTTCACATATAAGGTGAAGAAATTTGTAATTGGTCTTGACTAAAAGGTTTCTTATAATGTAACTACCAAAATGGTTGTGTAAGTAAAAAATAGAAACAAACGTACTTTCATTTAAGATTTAAAGTTCAAAATTTAAAATGTACTGTGTAGATTCAATAATAAAGTAAATGTTCTCCTTTTACCTTAATCTTTATCGTATTAAGACATGAAACATTTAAATACCAGGACTTTAGATTATAGAAAAAGCATCTGAAAATACTTTCCAAAATATACCCCTGAAGGCCTCTAGATGGCAAACTTTAGTAAATTTTTATGATTGGCCTGAATTCAGTTTCTTACCAATTCGGTCTAAACCACCTATTGAAATGATTTTCTGTTTAATAATCTACTCAGATGTATTTGTGTTTTATGGAACAATGCATGAGAAACTGAATTATAATATTTTTTCTAAAATGTAAGCCTTTATTTTTGGAAAACCTCATTGTACCAAGATGGTGTCCCAGTCTCTTTGGTGCACTGGGGAGTCTGGAAAAGTTTTACCTGATAAAGTATTTCAGCTGGCTTCGAAAATCAACTATTCCTTTATAATTATAAAGATTAGTTACAGTTTTTATTATGGAAATTTCAGAGATCTCAAAGAATAGTAACCAAGTCCTCCAAGAAATATAAAGTAGAAGATATGTATATGAGTCTTATTAGAACCCTTTCCAACCCAAGCATGTCCTTTACAAAACAAATATATAACACAATTTCCAAAGTATGCATCTTTTTGTGATATATCATTCATGTCTGCTTAATTCTATAATCATTGCCATTCCTTTAGTTAAGTTAAAAAATATATTTATTTTAATGCCAAATATATTCAAGAGTTGTTATGCGATGAAGAGAAATAAAATTAGTAAGAGAGTTGATAATTAAAAGGTATGCAAGAGGCATTGAAAAGGACAAGTCCACTTTGCATAAAATATTATCAGCAATAATGTTGAAGTTTAAAATCCAGTTATAGCTAGGATATGTATGTTAAATTTTCAATGGGGGCTTGAACTAATATCCTAAAGCTACCACTAGCTATGAGAAGATCCATTACTGAGTGTGCTGAATATTGGAGAACCCCCTTTCTGAGAGAGAGTTCCTCCTCCATACATATAGTAACTATGGAAAAAATATTTTAGCATGATGCAACATTGGCTGACAACAACTGGGCATCTGACCTAACTGGCATAAACATCTGACAGAAGCTGGGACAAAGTTCTTTTCAAATTTCAACTTCTCGTTACCAGGATGGGTCCCTGATCCAAGATGAACCAATAAGAATCTTTCTCCAAAGACTATAAAACTAGAAAAAGGAGAACAAACCTCTCTCTAGTGAAGCTTGGTATTCTCTCTCCCTCTTCCCCCCCCCCAATAAATAAATAAATCTTTTTTTTTTTAATATTTTTTTTATTTATTTATCAGAGAGACAGAGGCAGGCAGAGGGAGAAGCAGGCCCCTTGCTGAGCAAGGAGCCCGATGCGGGACTCGATCCCAGGACCCTGGGATCATGACCTGAGCCGAAGGCAGACGCTTAACTGACTGAGCCACCCAGGCACCCTAAATAAATAAATCTTAAAAGAAAAAAAAGATGGTAAGATTTTCCTTCATTTACTTTAAAAGTGTAAATGAGTTTTTCAGGGGGATATATACATGTATCATCCAAGAAAAACAAAGATTGAGAATTTTTATAGCTGTTGTAAAATATTTTGAGCTAGATTGTGCATGTTCAACTGAAATGAGGTATAAAGGTTGAGCCCTGGCTTGAGTGCAGCTTTCCTATTCACAAGTTGGAGTCCTTGAAAAAATCCTTAAACTCAGTTTCATATTATTTTCAAGCAACAGAATTCCTCTTTTCAACCAAAATCTTGAGATTTGCTCTGTAAATGCTTTTTTAGATGCTCATGGATTTTCTCTTAATTTTGGATGGCAAAAGATGCAGATGATATCCACTAGGGGCTCCTAAAGCCCTGCAACATGGAGAACACCTGCCTGAGAATTAAGTCAATTCACAGAAAGAAGCAGATTGGGTGAAGAGAGAGATAGTGCCCTGAAGATATCACTGGAGTACATGGATCAAGTTGTACCTGAGTCAGTCCTGTTCTTTGATTTTACGTTGATACGAGCTAATAAGTTCTCATTTTTATCAAACCACCTTTTGTATGGTTTCCTTAGGAACTAAGGGAGTCTTGAAAAACAGTCAAACGCCACTTTTCTGACTAACGTTTTTCAATGGAATCTTTTATTCTTCATGACTCCAAAGAGCAGAATCAGAGCTAGATGACAAGAGAGAAATGAACTGTCTTTTTAAAATCATTCTAGTTATGTTGATGTCTAGATGGAATTACATATATAGAAGCAGCATAAAGATCCATCAGATTACATATCCAGACGTTAGTATTTAGAAAAATCTTACTGACATAGAACAATTAATGCAATAAGGTCTTCAAAAATTTTGAGAAACTAAAAGAAAAAAATGGTCAATACTTAAAACATGAAATCTCAAAGACATTTGTGTTTTAATGTAAGATTAGCGAGTCCAACCTAACAGATATTTTCAAGTGAAAAATACAGTTTTTTTAAGGAGGTGAAAGACCTGCACTCTGAAAACTTTAAAACATTGATGAAAAAAACTGAAGATGACACAAACAAATGGAAAGATAGTCCATGCTCATGGATTGGGAGAAGCGATATTGTTAAAATGTCTATACTACCCAAAACAATCTACACATTCAAAGCAATCCTTATCAAAATACAACCAGCATTTTTCACAGAACTAGAACAAATAATCCTAAAATCTGTATGGAACCACAAAAGACCCAAATAGCCAAAACAATCTTGAAAAGGAAGAACAAACCTGGAGGTTTCACAATTCCAGATTTCAAGTTATATTACAAAACTGTAGTAATCAAAACAGTATGGTACTTGAATAAAAATAGACACATAGATCAATGGAACAGAATAGAAAGCTCAGAAACAAACCCACAATTATATAGTCAATTAATCTTCAACAAATGAAGCAAGAATATGCAGTGGGAAAAAGATAGTCTCCAACAAATAGCATTGGGAAAACTGGACAGCTACCTGCAAAAGAATGAAACTGGACCACTTTCTTATACAAGACACACACAAAAATAAACTGAAAATGGACCTGAAACCATAAAAATTCTAGAAGATAACACAAGAAGTAATTTCTCTTACATCAGCAATAGCAACATTTTTCTAGAGATGTCTCCTGAGGCAAGGGAAATAAAAGCGAAAATAAACTAGGGGGCTTCATTAAGATAAAAACTTCTGCACGGCAAAGGAAACAATTAACAAAACTAAAAGACAACCTACCGAATAGGAGAAGATATTTGCAAAGAACATATCCAATAAAGGGTTAGTATCCCAAATATATAAAGAACTTATAAAACCCAACACCCAAAAAACAAATAATCCAATTTAAAAATGGGCAGAAGACATGAACAGACATTTCTCCAAAGAAGACAAACAAAAGGCCAACAGACACATGAAAAGTTGCTCACATCACTCATCATCAGGGAAATGCAAATTAAAACTACAA